GGGCCATTTGAAAAGAACTTGTTTAATACGTTCAAAAAGAGGAATTCAAAGTTATCCCATTTGGAGTTAATGGGATTAATATTTAGTCGATTACACGCAATTAGAGCTTCACGACAATGGACAGAAAATGAAACTTCAACAGCGTTAATTTTACAAGAAAAAATTGATAGCGTTGATCATCTTTCAACAATCTATAAAACCACCATCAAAAGCATCATCTCTAATGAACACATACTTTTGAGACTTAATGAAGCTGTTAATAATCAAGATTTATTGATTAAATCTGTTATTGGACATACAATTGCATTACATGCGTCCATTCGTCATGATTCGTCACCTCTTGCTAATTTATTACAGAACTTACATTACTGTACTGGATTATTTATTCCAGCTACTCCTTCGGATGAAACATCTATTGTTTTGAGTGCAGTTCTTTTGAGAGGTCAAATAACTAGGTATTTCATTGCTCCCATATTATCTTTTATTGAATATTCCTTAAATTTCGTTTTACGTAATTAACCAACGATTATTATTATTAAACTCTAGATATTCATGCAGTTGTGGATATATATATGTTATTGGAGATTGCGGTATTTATATTTTTATAATATTTTCATCATTCTTTATTCTTGAATTAATTATTATAGAGTTAATCATTCAATTCATAAAAAGGTTTCTCAAATGGAACGGGAACATGTCCTGAATGCGGAAGGAGAATAGGTAAATAAATAAAGATTTATTAATATTTATAAGCTTGATTTTTTTTTTTTTGCAAGTACAAATTAAGAACTTCATAATTCTTAATTTAGGTGGTGAAAATCATGTTGCAGCTGATGGTCAAACAAAGTTAGATACTAATCCGCTTAGAATGTCATTAAGTGCCAAGAACCAGACTGGATACATCGGCGAACCAATAAATCAAGAATCTGCGTATTCAGTTAGAATGATGTCGCCGACTTCATATCGTATTTTACATTTATTCATTCATGTGATAATCGGAGCTTGGGCACATGCATCACTGGCATTATCTTTTTTGCAAAAAAACAACACTACAGCTACTGATGCTGGAAGATATTGCACGGACCATATAAAAAATGATTGGATTGTTTTAAGAAGGATACTTAATACTTCAGATGAGAATTTAGCATTGATTTTACATTCAATTTTGGATTTAATGGCTCAAAGGCCATGTAAAATGGTTTCATTAAAGACTTCGGCTGAACGAGATGAATGGGAAACCGAATTTAAGGATAGATATGTCACCCCTCATGTTAGAAATGTTACTGAAACAGCAGTAAACTTCCAAAATAAACTTGCCGAAGCAGATAAGTCCCAGGATAATGTCAATATTATTGAAGCTGAAATAAATCAAACGTTAGCAATGGATAATAATTATCAACTTGAACATTTGCCAAAAATGTGGAGATTTATTTCTGATATCAGTTATCAAAGTCTTCATGCTCATTATTTGAGTGATGAAGATGTGCATTCTAAAAAATATCCATTTTTAGCACAATTCTTTAAACATTCAGAAAAACTATCGTTGATAAAGCACCTTTCACCGATTGTTAATTTTGTGCAAGTTTTATCTTCAAAGTTAGAATATCAATTAAGTAGGGATGACGCAGAAACACTGACATTTGGAGAATTTATTGATAATGAAGAAGGAGAAGCTGACTTTGAATATTCCAATAATAATCTTTTGAGATCAGCGTTTGAAGATTTTGCAGAATCTTGGAACGCAATTATTGATAATGTTAAAAATTATCAATGTCATGCTATTCCAGATCCAAAACCATTAATAGATCTTAATTCACCTGTAGTTCTGGGACTGATTGAACCAGTTAATTCAGGAGTATATCTATGCGCAATTTTAGATTACCTTATTGGATTACAAAATGAATTCTTGCAAGATGTCATGACAATTCCTTCAGAATCTTGGAATTCATTAAAATTTTTGGACGAAGCTTCGCTTAATTTTAATGCAACAGTCACTCAAACTTCCACGCAAACAGGAACAACAACAATGCATCATTATATTCGATCCATTCGTCTAGAAAATGCTAAACCCAATAATTTTATCAATTATGAATGGAATGACGATCTTCTTCAATATAGTCAACGCAATTTACAAATGGGACGTGGAGATGACGTTACATTTGATTTACAAAAAATAGAATTTGAACTTGCGCGTCAATTAGTTTTTGGTAAAGTTTATATTGATACAATTGAAGAATCACAATTATATATGGAACCCTTTAATTTCCATTTAGAATTATTTAAAGGTTATATGAGAATTTTGAGTGATATCAAAACATTAATCCCACAAAAATCTATTTCAAGTTATACTATGGCGAATATTATTAATTTATCTACTGTATCTTCATCTACAAAAACTTCTACAACCATGGATAGTCTAGAATCAATGTCATATGATAGTGCATCAAAATTACTTTCATGTTTAGAAATTTTACTTTGCTTCGTAAAAAGAAAATTAATTAGTGATTCCGAAAGTTTAATTAGCGACTTTGTAAGACAATGGGCGAAGCTTTCTGTTTTGGTTGATAATGAATTATTTATGAATATTTTAAAAGTTGATTTAAGACTTAAACATGTCGTTGCTTTATATGAACTTATTGAAGAACAAGTTGCTAATAGAGTTATTATTTATGTTGATGATAAATATGCAGAATCATTAACATCGGATCTGGAGAAAGAAATTTCTGATGCGCTTGACTTTAATATTATTGATGATATGGATTTTGAAGAAAATAGTTTACAACTAATGGATGATGGTAATGTAATTGCTGAAGAAAATGAAAAGAAGGTTAAGAAAATTCCGGTAGAGGTATTTGCTGGTACAATAAAAAGATTTATTCTTAGGTATCTGATGAAAAACTTGATTAAGGAAGATCATCCAATGTCGATTTATTTTACCGATAATTCTTTGAACTTGTGGCCAGCCCAAATTTCCGAAGAATTAATCGATGAATTGTTCCCAACAAGTTTAATGGTATGCCATGCTTTCGAAGTTTATCGATTTGTTTCTGATAAAATTGAGGTAATTGATTATTAAAGTCGTGTTTGAAGTTGTTTTTTTTTATTACCTGTTATAGTTATTAATATACTTAAATTGTAAATTATTTATAGAGAGTGAAGCAAGTATTGAGTCAAAACCAAAACACAAAACGTTTTCAAAGAAATAGAAATCCCAAGCAGAAAGATCAAAATGCTTCTCATCAAAGTGTTGGTCCTGAAAATAATTCATCATCTAATAGAGGATCTCATAGTTCTAGAGGAGGCAGAGGGTTTAACAAAGGACGTAACAATACTTCAAGAGGCCAGAATCAAGGAATTAGTAATGTTTCAGGAGGTAATAATCACTCTGAAAATGCCGAGTCTTCGAAAAGAGGGCGTGGCAATAATCGAAAATTGATAAATTAGTATTGATTTATTAGTAGCTATTTATTTCAATATTTTAGTGTATTTATATTTTTTTTTAATTTTGAAAAATTATTTTAATAAAATCAAATTATTAATATACATATTGTCGCGATACCCATGTGACTAGTGATCGGCTACATGTTGAATATCGTGATCGCATATAGTAAAATTCCGGCCCATCCGACCAGGGTTCCGATGCATTCCGATCAGGAATTTTGGGATTGCCCTGTCCCATAATTTTTGTTGTCATTACACATAAATATTTAAAT